ACTGCTTTGAGAAGCAGAAGACAGTATTCTTGGGATTAAGGACTCATAGACTTACATTTTGATTATTAAGATATCTTGTTTTTCCATAAATAGCAGTCAGTCAAGACCTTTCCATCTCTAACTGATAAAGCAGCAACATTGGAGGATTGAACTGCTTGCTTTCTTTTCTTTTTCCTTTATCTTTTTTAAAGGTATTAGGAAATTCGTCTTTCACATTATTTATGGGGTATTATATAGAGAAAAGAATATTGTAGAAGTGGTTTGAAACCACTATTTGTCAAAATTGGAATAATTTTGTTCTGAGATTTTATAGTGATTTTTTGAAAGAGGCTAGTCGTACAATCCTACTGTGAGAGATGAAGTAAATCAAGACTTTCTTCATAAGTAATTTGATACTTTATATTTTTTCATCTATTTTATTAGGTTGACAAGATTGTGGCCATAGCAGAAGACATAAAGAATATAGGAAATACTTTCTTCAAATCCCAAAATTGGGCAGTGGCAGCTAAAAAGTATAGTAAAAGTTTACGGTAAGGCTATCATCATTAAATCAGGTAGTTTCTGTAATGCAAATTAACATTGCAATCAAGCAGTGATAAATGTATTTTAAAATGCTTGATGCTGTGCTTTTTTTTTTTCCTTAATTTTTGTAAAGACTCCAGAATCAAGAAAAGAACTGCTTGGTTTTTAGATACTTAACTCAGATAGTACTTTTGCTCCTTGCTAGGTAAGAGTTATGTGGAAGAGGTGTTGTTTACAGCTCCCATTTGCTAATGCTCCTCCATCAGTATTGCTGAGCTGAGTGTAAGGGGGAGGAGGAGCACAGTAACATTCTGAGTATTTGGAGAGGGAAGGGCAGGAGATGCTGCTGCATCTCAGTTCTAACAATCAGTAGCTGTAGGACATGGTAAGTTCAGCAGATATCGCATCTAAATATGACACTTAATTCATCTCTTCCTTATTTGTGCTCTGAGGCACTGTGCCATCATCATCCTGATTTCATCTGTAATTCAAAATCATGATTTTTCTGTTCTTGTTTTCCTTCTTTCATACTTATGCAGTTGAGCTTCTTCCAATGATTTTGTTTTAATTTATACTGACTTTTATCCCTAGCTTCATAATTATTACCAGTCACTAGCAGTAACAATAACGACAGAGAAAGAGCTGAGGCCTATTTAATGAGGTATCTGAGTTATAACTGCCTTCATTTCAAAGAAATGATGTCCTTCTGAAGCACAAACATTAAAATATTAACCCAAAATGCATCCTCTCCCTTTGTGCTCAAAAAACCTATCACAGCCCCATAGAAAGTCTGAAATAAATAGGATGTATACATAAACGTTCTAGGAATGTTACAGGAAAAAAGGCTGGAATGGATCTTCAAGGAACTATATCTTATAGCTCTCCATTCCCTCCCTCCCTCTCTCTTAGGTAAAAATGTGGTATTCCCTATGTATTTTTTAAGTAAAACCCTTAAAGTCCTTAAACCCTTTGTGCTAAAAACCTGACAGCATCACACGTCGTGCATGCGGATGAGCAGAGTTTGCCTGTCCCCTTCCCCAGGGAGCAGTGACGGAGGGGACTGGGTCCGGAGCCAGCGCGGCTGGTCAGGATGAGCCAGGAGAAGGGAGATGCTGGAGCTAGCAAAGCCCGTAGAATTCCTCCTTTCCAAAGGGAAATGAGCTGTGAGCACTGATGGAATGGCAGGAAGACAGGCAGCTCTCCAGGACCGGGACAGGGCGGCAGGGCTGCCTGGGGGCTTCTGGCCACGCGTTGGTGACGGAGGAGGGGAGAGCAAAGGGTCATCGAAATAAATTCCAGGGGCTTCCGCCACCCAGAGTAGCTCGGTTGTTTAAAGAAAAATGAAAAAAGATGCAGTTAATACAGTTAAGGAATAGGAACATGCTTTCTAGGGAAACCTTCACCTTTTGTCAGGGTAGGTGTGATACATTTAGTTTTTTTAACAGTGGAATTGAAACCTGGAGTTAAGACTACGGAATTTCTCCAAATAAGAGAAAATACTAATTTGGAGAAGTTTGTTTGCATGCAGTTTTGGAAAGAGAGCCAAGGGCAGGCCAAAATGGAAGTTAAGCTGACAGCACTAGTACATGCTCTTTGTAAATATATATTTTTTTAATTTATTTTATTTTTTCTTCTTCGCTTGCAGGTATGTAGAAGCTTCTGAAGCAGTGGCAGAGGCAGCAGACAAACCAAAGTTAAAGACCGTTGCTTTGACCTGCGTTTTAAACATTGGTGCTTGTAAACTAAAACTGTCAGACTGGCAAGGAGCTATTGAGAGCTGCTCAGAGGTAATTTAGTGTTTAATGTTTTCATTAATATTTGGGCTATACAGATAAGGGCAGCCCAAAAACTTTTTGGAGTCTTAACAGGCTCCTGCTCTGAAGGTCAGCAAGGCAGAAGGGTGACCTCGGGTGCTTACTGCCACAGCAAAGCTCCAACTGGGAATGTGGGTCTTGTTCCCCAAGATCAGAGCTGGTTTCTTACAATGCAAGGACTTAAACTGTTCACAATGAGAGCACATCACTTCTAGAAGACTAGTGTGAGCAAAGCATTTTACTTACTGGGGCCATTTTGCCAGTTAAAGTCACTTTTCTAATTCAAGTCTTTTTAGGGAGGCCGAGTAGTGATATGAAAGCAGCTAATAGAAAGAAACAAAAAAAAAGAAAAAAATAAACAAATGATAAATATGGAAGTACTTCAAAAGTAAAATTAAGGAGAAAAAATAGGACTAGTGACCTAGACCTACTGACAAAAAACTGCAGTTGAGGAAGCATGAATTTAGTTAAATTTGGAAATTTTGAAGGAAACTGAGTATGGAATTCCATCTGTTAGCAGAAAATCTGAACATTCCTGGGACTTTATAGTGGAAGGTGGGATCTCAGCTAATCTGTGTGAGGGGTCGGTCTTTAAAGTGCTAGCTTGCTGTCTAGCCTGAGGATATGCACAACAGCCATAAGCTCACATTCTAAATGGACAAATTGGGGAACGATAAAAAAATCAAATCCTGAGTTATCAGACCTCTAGAAAATGATAAAATTGAGACAGCATTTAAGTATTACACATAGAAATTAGTGGCATTAATCATAATAGTTGCAGGTATGGAAAAAGCAACCTTTTCTCCTTCCTTAAGATGATAGAATTGTTAAATAAATACAACACTGCAGCTGCACTAGACTTCTCTAATGTGTTTAGCTTAGCTCTCTTAAGATGCATTCTACACCACATCACTGTTTTAATCGGAACAGCAGTCTGCTAAGAACTGACTAACCAGTACGGGCCAAGGTAATGGTTTATGAGAAACCCTGCCCTTTCCTTCAGGGAGGATTCCCCAGGCCAGATGCTTTGTAAATTAACAGTCTGCACTGCAGGGATTGTTTGCTGTCAATTAGGAATTGGAAAGAGCTGAACTTGTTCAAACACCCTTCCTTTAAGATAGACGTGAGCACATCTGTCCCTCTGAAAAACAATGCTCATATGTGTGCATAAGACACTTAATTCTGTGTTGACCCAGAACAGGCTTGTAGCAGACACGCAGACCAGGATAAGCTCTTTGCATACACAGACAACAGTAAAGTGATTTAGAGAGAATTATGGATGTGGCTTCTACTGCCTGTAACTCTTCAATGATTAAAAATGATAAATTAATGAAGCCAGGTATTTGTGCAAAGAGATTTCCTTAACCATAGAACTGTATTCTTAAAATACAGTATTCTGTATTCTGTGCAGCGTGCTGATGTTAACAGGGCTATTTGCTTCATTTTACAGGCTCTTAAAATAGATCCAGCAAATACTAAAGCTCTCTACAGACGGGCTCAAGGATGGCAGGGAATAAAGGATCTCGAGCAGGCATTGGTAATGATCATATTACATATATACACATACATATATATTTAATATAAATACTTTATCAAGTTACTCATTTATACTTCTGTCTCTTTAAGGTTGATCTTAAAAAGGCTCATGAAATTGCCCCTGAAGACAAAGGTAAAAACTGTCTCTCTCTATATTTTTTTAATCTCTTTTTAAAGAATGTAACAAATTAAAATGGGACATTATACCCATTACACCCATATAAGATCCTGGCTTCTGACAGCTGCTGACACTTAAATGCTGATCCGTCAAGCACAAGGCCCACTGAGTGTTGTATAAAAAAAAACTTTTTATACAACATTGATGCCTCTGGTGCTGTGGGGTAAAAGGTCCCCTTCTGCTTATGTAGGTCAGCAGCACCCAGAGGAAGTTCTGCCCCCTCAAAGTGTAATTTTCTGGTTTTATTAATACCTTATTGGGTAAGATTTTTACATTATAAATTCTATGCTGACATCAGTACTATTTTTCCTATCACCTCATTTTGTAGTTTTAGTTTGTTTCATCTAAGGGAAGAGTCTTTTTGCAGTTAATATCTGACCTGATAGAAATTAAATGCAGTTCTAGCATTTACAATAAATATAAGTAACTTACAGCAGCATCATCTAGGCTTGGCATATTAGGAAGCCTAATGAAATGTGATTACTATAACTGGATCATGGATTTTATTTTTAAGCAGCTATCCAAACGGAAACACTCAGAATCAAGCAGAAGATGAAAGCCCAAAAGGAGAAAGAGAAGGCAGCTTATGCTAAAATGTTTGCTTGATATTTTTTTCGGAAGTTTTAAACCTAAGCACTAACTCTGTAAAAGGATAATGGAGCTGTAGGCAAGTGTTTCTTCTCTCAGTTGCCCTGTACTGCTGTTTTCAGTGTTTACAACTTAAAAGTCTAACAATAAAGATAAACTGTTCAAGGATTAAGTTGTTTTTCTTTCTTTTTAGCTTTAATAACAGGGGCTTCGTAATTCAGATATGGTAGTTGCTAAGGTATAGTGTTTATTTCAGCTTAATAATTAAAGTTTCTGAAGAAGTTTGTTTCTAGCATAAAAACAAGCTAGGCAGTTTCTATGAGAGTTTTTGTTTTATTATTTTATTTGAGCAGGCCTGATTTCCTTCTTGTAAGGAATAAAAATACTGTTATCTTTTTAAATGCTTTACAGATTGTATTGCGAACAGGTTTCCTTGTATTACAAACAGGTTCCTTATTATTCTCAGGAAAAAATATATAAATATAGATTTTTATCTAACGTGTAACAATTAGTGACAGTTTTCTAGACTGAGTTATTTTCTGTACTGCAAGTTACAATTGCCTTTAGTAAATAATTTCAAATAGAAGGAGAAAACATACCTTTTATTTTTTTTAAGGGGAGGTACTAAATTCTTCTTCCACACCCATGATTCTGCATAGGGCTGCTGTTTTCACTGAACTTCAGCAGTAAATGAAAGATCCAGGCTTCCTTTCAGTCCCGAGAAGAACTTTTCTTCTGCCTGCCACTGCATTCTGGGAAGAAGTTCTTTTTAAATAAGGCTGGGGTCTAACCCGAATGCACTGACTTTCCATTTAATGTAATGGTCATACCTAACATTTGGCACAGCACGTTACTCTCAAACTGTTTAACATTCAAGTCAGTGCTGCACTTCAATTACACTGCAGCATAAAGCATTCCAACTTATCTGTTGGAGGTCAAGTCATGGAACAGTTTTCAGCTGATCACATCCCGTTGTAAGCTGGTCCTCCTCCACCTTCGGGGACTACCCAGTTAATGTTCTGACTTGGGTCTTTGATATCACATGTTTTGCAGTGGACACAGTTCTGAGCATTTATCTGCAGTCTTGATCCTTCTCCCGTTTCCAGAGGAATATATTCATAAACTCCTGGGAAGAGGAAAAAAGTGGGAGCACTTCATTAAATAGTTTCCCCTTGCACACATGCTCTACTCCTCCTTAACAGTGTGTGAGGAAGGGAGTTTTCATAAATTCACACCTCCGTGGGAGCTCTTCTCTGGAAGGAGAGCTGGGACAGACAGCAAACTTGCAGGACGTGTTAGGCTACGCAGAATAATCCTGAAGTACTTTGCCTTTTATCTTGCAAAAAAGACTCAGACTCATTTCATTTTTATTACCTACCTGCTGGACAAAATCGTTGTTCTGGTCCATCGAATATAGCCAAGTTTCTGTTCACAGGGACACTGTCATCTTTTAGGGTTAAATGAGCAGGCTGATCGTGTTCATGATTTGTACCACTTAAAGCCACAGATGATAGGAGATCAAAACTGATTTTTCCATCAGGCTTTGGATACTCAATAGGTGTGCAGTCTTTGGCTGGCTTGAGTTGAGCAAAATCTGGTCCTAAAGACAGTAAATAAATGTATTGCAGAATTAATATAATTTGTAGTACTCAACTGGAATTGAACTAAGCTATTCAGACTTCTCTTGCTGTTGCCATTAGTGTGATGAAGTTGCCTACAGAAGCAGGTGGTCTTTTTCACGAGACAAAACTATGCAAAGTAGACGACTACTCTAATGTGTTCATTTATATTGCTGAGTAATATGACCAAATCTCCTTTGCTGCTTTAGCACCAATTTCTTTATGACATTGAGACCTCCCTGCCTGAATATTGACCAGATCTGCTCTAGCTTCAACCTCACCCAGAAGAGACTGACACAGACACCTGGTATCTTTCAAAAGATAATATTTACCTGGATGATTTAATGTCCACGGCTCCATTCCTCTCAGTATCCAATAAAACACACCCGTGTAAAGCATTCCTCCATACAAGCCGAGTGCAGTGTGGCAGGACGGGCGGATGTTTCTGACTGAATAGAGCTCTTTCCAAACCCAGGACTTCTTCAGGTTCTCTTCGTATTCTTGCACGTGAAGTCCTAATGCAACAGAGGACTTGTTAGGTACTTGCAGTACAGAAAGGCTATCCTTGAAATAAAACATAAATGCTGAGTAAATAATTGTTAGCAACGAAGGCAGCAAAATAATTTCCGAGCGGCAAACTGGATATCTACTTAGACTACCTATTTGAACCTCTTTAAAACATGTTTTCACTGGCACTTATCAACAGGTATCTGCTCCCTTGTAGCTGCTATTACAAAAGCCACTGGAAGCACTGACCTGCCTCAAAATTTAGCAAGAAACAAACAAACAAACAAAAAAACAGACAAGGCCACAATAGGGGCACCCCTATGGAAAAACAGCTACTCACGAGTAGAATCTACGACCCAGTGATTCAGTACTGGAGTTATCATGTTCAACAGAGTTGCTTCACGAGCTATGCAGCCATCATCATTCTGATTTCAGTAATGATCATCACGACCCAAGGGAGGACTTCAATGCTAGAGAATGTTCTTTTTTTTTTCCCTCCATTTCTAAGCAGCAAGTTAACAAGAAAGATGTCCCACCAAAAACATGTGATTGGTTTGCATTCTTTGAGCACAACCTTTATGCACGTTACAAATATTGCACACTCAACCAATGACTGAGTGCACCGTTCTACTGCAGTGTAATTAAATCAGAGCAAATATCTTTATACATACATATATATATATAAAGACCTTCAAATGAATTTTTTGAGATCCTCTATTTCACTTATTACCTCTGCACAGCAGAGAGGCTGTGCTTTGGTACTCTGCAGTCTTGACAAAACTGGTACCAGTTTATAACACCTGTCCATAATCAAACAAGAGCGGTGCACTAACCTGGTGAGACTGGTTATTATTTCAGGTGGGCTCCAAGCATTTTGCCTGGCTATACTAGACTACAAGTTTCAATTGTTTAGCATAGCCCAGCGCATTGTATGGTTTAATTGACCAAAAACCAGATGACCAGATTGATTTCTGTAGGGATGAATCCAAAGTATGGAGAAGAGCCTTCTGAAACGATAATCAGGTGGCACCTGGCTGCAGCGTCCCTCGCCAGAACAAGGGAATTCCAGTTGGGTCACCTCTCTGTTCAGCTTTTGTCAACAGAGCCAAGGGAATGAACAAGGCCTAAATAACCAGTGCAGTGCGCTTGGGATCAGGTGGCTGCTGGAATGTGTTTGAATCGCATGTAATGGGAAATACACAATAGTCTGACAGTGAGAGGCTCTCGAAAAGCAAAAGATGGAAGAAGGGGCCTGAAGTACAGGGGGGAAAGGCATCTTAACAGTACAATTAATAAAATCACGTGCGATTTTTCAAGTTTACCCCTCACACCTTTGTTTACGTTTCATTTTACTTAGAATTCTTTGCCTTCTGATACTGCAGGCTTTCTGGATCATAAAACAAAAGCAGTAATTTTTAAACACACTTTCAGGGAGGAGTCATATATTCTGTTTACTTATACAGGAAGTGTAAGCTTATTTTTGGATGTTCTTTAAAGCTTTTGTTCTACCACTAGCGTTAGAGCATCACAATAACCAAGAAAAACTGTGAAATTTGCTTGTTTCTTAAATGATTTGTCACTACAAGCAGCATATATATATACATACAAACACACATACATATACACACACACGCATATATTAAAACCAGCACATTTGTGATTTATTTTTATTTCCAACTAATTTTGTCAGACAGGTTTAGTTAGAGCTAAGCAGCTGGTGCTTCAGTTGAGTCCAGACTGCATTACAGAGGAAAGTTTAGCTGTCTTACCTAGTGTCTTTGACTGGAGA